TATATTATCCTATAACCAATTCTATATATCTCTGTTTCTAATCTTTCGAAGTCTTAGAATAACCCCTAGTCTAGTACTATATTAGCTTGCTCTATACTCTCTACCTAGATAATTAGGGAAGACTGCTTCTTAGTCTCTTCGATTTTCCTTTTAATCTATACCACTTTTGTAATCTTTAGGCCTAAGCATATAGCTTGGTTTTGTCTCTATAGGCTCTTAATATCCTGTTCTTCCTTAAAGCTTCTTATTATACTATAGGCTATAATTATGAATTGCTATTAGGAGACCTTTGCTGTTTTCCCTATTTTAGTTGTCTATTCTTTTTATGTTTCTAGCTTCTTTTTGTCCTGCTCTTATACTATAAATAGCTTAATTACCCCTTTACCTTCGTTCCTAGCCCTAATTACCTCTTTAACTGCAATTCTTTCTATAATCTCTTTCCCTATAAGTCCTTAGATTTCCTTTTGCTCCTATAGGTCCGTAATGTAGACTCTAACTACTGTCCTCGGGGGTTTTAGCGCTTCCTAACTAGCTACTACTGCCTAGGTGCGGTAGTTTAGGCTTATTTCCTATTGTTTTTTCGTAATCTTTGCTACGACTGTATTAGCTACCTTTGTGATTACGTAGCTTGCCTAGTTATAGATTGCTTTCAGTCCTCTAAGGAGTTCTAAGATTATCCTCCTATATGCCCTCTTAGGGGTTCTTCTATCTTCCGCCTTTAGCACCTCCTCTGCCCTAGTATATAGTGCTTTCTATTCGTCCTCCCTTCCTTCTTAACTGTCTTCCCTTCGTCTCTGATTGTTCGCTGCTATTTTAAAGTAGGTATAATCGTTGCTACGGCTCCTATATCTTCTGTTTATATAGTAAACGAATAGAGCTAACAAATCGATCTACGCGCTAAGCCTCCGCAAATTAGATATACTTTCGTAGTATAAAACGACGCAAAGAAATGCCTTATACATTCTTTAATCGCCTTCTTACTAGCTATAAGCGTATATGTATATCGAGAGTGTTAAGCGTAGTTAGTATTTCGGTAGTTTAGATATTGTCGAGATTGGCTTATCTAGAAGCCGGCTTTTAGAGTAACCTCTACTAATTAACAATTATCCGCTAGTAATACAATTTATATTGTTCTACCTTATATATTTATTATTTACAATTACCCGCGCTACAAGCTTATACTATTGCTATATTTTTACAGTGTTGTTAGGTTTTAACGATTCTAAGCGATATACGAGATTCCTAGCTATAGCTAGAGTCGGCTTCGCTTATCGATTGTTCTTTAGCAATACAACGTCGCGCAGATATTCTAAATTAGTAGATTGACTCGAAAATAGGCATTCTACGACATCTACCTATAATATTTATATATATTAGTAATATAGTATATCTCGTATATGCGAGTGTTAAAGTCGTAGATTCAGTCGTTAGGCCCTTACTACGCAAGGATTTAGCAAGCTAATTAATATTAATCAAATTGCTACCGAGCGTATTAGTAAGGGCCTGTATAGAGGTAGCTTGAATTTATTTTAATTAATTTAGGATAATTATTCCTATAGATCCTATAGAAATTTGAACTATATTTATTCTAAATAGTAAATAGAACAAATACTATCTGCTAGACTTTATATAGTTATATTTGCTAGTTATAGAGTATACTAAATAAAAATATTAAAAAATAAAGTAATATATAGAGTAATATATAGAGTAATATATAGAGTAATATATAGAGTAATATATAGAGTAATATATAGAGTAATATATAGAGTAATATATAGAGTAATATATAGAGTAATATATAGAGTAATATATAGAGTAATATATAGAGTAATATATAGAGTAATATATAGAGTAATATATAGAGTAATATATAGAGTAATATATAGAGTAATATATAGAGTAATATATAGAGTAATATATAGAGTAATATATAGAGTAATATATAGAGTAATATATAAATATTACAATCTATAGTTAAAAATGTTTCTTTTAGAAGAATATTTACTTTTATAGATTAAAATTAAAATTAATTTAGTATAGTAATAGGTTAGAAAAACCCACAAGTATTCTATTTTATACTTTTGTCTTATACGTATCACCTGTTATCAGTTTCTTCTAAGGCTAACTATGCGATTACGCTTCACGTGCTAAAATTTCTACTTATCCAAGTGCAGACCTATGCCGACGAAAGGCTTCAAGTTGACAACGAACTCCGCGCGGCTATACATCTTGCGAAAATTGTACCACTTATCGGTTTTCAGGACCATGTCACAAGGATCGAGGACAATCTCCAGTGCGCAGACTTGCTTGAGGCTAGGATGATTGGCACTTCGCGGCAACTGGACAGGCGGTTGGCTCGACATCACTATCGTGGTCCTCCATGGCACTTTTTCCTGGCCACATGGAATTTTATGGCTGAAGTCTTGGGCCACACCATCTTTGACGTCTACCAGTTGTCCCCACCATACTCTAAGCCTTGGACTTCGAATCAAACATCAGCAGATAGCATAGTCCAGCAATAAGTAGTGGTCTCAGATCATTTGTAACGACCAGTGGATTGGATTTGATGGTTCGGAGACGGTCCTGCGAGGGACACTGGACCAGCCGCCACTGCTTCGGAGGCATAACGGCATGGAGTGTGAATGTGGAAGCACTTCCGGGCGTCATGGCATAGCGCCTCTGGGGCCCGCTACACTCATTGCTGTCGTCCAATCCGCCAAGGGGTCATCTTCTCGAGGCTGGTGGTTGCTCATCGGTGACGCTCGGAGAGACGCGTCGGATACATCCTTGTACACATTGTAATGCTAAGGCCGGCTAGGCCGCAGGTTTTCAAGACGCGGTGGTGTACATCGCTGTCTGTATGCCGTACCTGGAAGGCTCTGCAAACTGCAGAAGCGATTAAAAATGTCGATGTCGCTGTGGAGGGCGTGGCGTTGATGAGCGATCCATGGATGCTGTCGCGTGCTCCTTTTCACGGGAGGGACGGGGCGGGGCGGAGCGGAGCGGAGCGGAGCGGCATCCAACCTTGTTGATAGCCCGCCGTGACAACCTGGACAGCAAGATGTCATCAACAAGGATTATTTTGAGCCGCGTCGATATCAATTGTTGCAAGCTGACCAGGTCAATACTATTGTGTTCCACAATGCCGTCCGTTTTCTGATTTTGTGTCGCTGTCTCATCATGTCGTTTAAAGTGAGCACGCGACAGTTTCCGTTGATGCTCCTTCGACGCCCGCCAAGACTGCACTGCCAACGTCGAAGGAGTCGATGGCGGAGTTTGGCAGTGCAGCATCTTGAAACTCGTCAGTGAAGCCTACACTCTTTCTCTCCTCTTTCTTTCCTGCATCGCTCACCGCACGGCGTTCCGCTCTCTACCCTGCTTTATTCTTTGCAATACCTCACAGCATTGTCTGAGCTTCTGTTTGCTGATCCTCCCGAGCTCATACCAAGACCAAGACACAGGCGCCACGTGAAAGTGGTCAGCCGTCCACGACTACAACCCATTGGCTAGCACAGCGAGTCCTCTACAAATCAATCTATTCCTCCACTTCGACATCGGCACTTCGATCGAGTCGCCCCACATACAGTACACCCACTAGCAGATCTGGAGTGGTGCAGGTGCCACGGGGAGATATTGTAACACAGACCAAGACTAAAGAGCGTGGATCATGGCAGGGGAAATAGCAGGAGGACAGCTCACACACAACCTGACTGACGGTGTATTCGACAACTATGCGGAATGGACAGCGAAGCCAGAATTCAAGCTTCCAAACTGGGGAGAGGCAGTCATCTTCGTGACCATCCTCTTTGGAGGCATGATCTTGACCAGACGCCGAGACTACAGCATATTTGGTCCGAGGAGAGGCTTCTCCTACAAATCCATCCTAGACCAATCGCCCAGAGACTCGGAAGACACCGAGCTTTTCGACTTCCACAGCGACAACGATGATGATCGACATTCCACCTTCGCTCAGGAGAAACAGTTGCCAAAGTCCAGGACCTGCTGTGGTCTCTGCACAGTATCGACCCCAAATACCTCCCGCTTCAAGAACCACATCCACTCCCGACTCTTCCAAAAGTTTCCCTTCCTCGTCGAAATGCTCTACTGGGTGCTGAACTACCTCTTCTACCGCATGACCACAGTCCTCTCCAATAAAATCTTCGCCGGCAAAGGAATTTGGGAAGCGGCCCAAGATCATGCCCTCACCATTCTAGAAATCGAACAGTTCTCCTGGATCTCATTCGTCTTCCCATTCCGCGAGCTCGACATCCAACAATGGTTCATGCACGGCCATCAAGACTTGCTCACATTCCTCGACCGCTTCTATTCCCTCATCCACATCCCAGGCTCCATGGCTTTTATTGTCTGGTACTACTACGTAGCACCCTCACACTCTACGTTCGCGACGATCCGACGAACAATGACCCTGACGAATTTCATGGCCTTTATGACTTTCATTTTCCTCCCGGTCATGCCGCCTCGTCTTCTGCCCAAAGAGTATGGGTTTCTGGATACAGTCCACATGGAAGACGCAGCTTCTCTATGGCAGACCGGAAAACACGTCAACTCCCTCGCAGCCATGCCGAGCATGCATTTCGGATACTCCTTCGTCATCGGCTGTACATTCATCTACCATTCGGGAATTTTCCGCCGCAGATTTGAGAAATTCGAGTCAAACAAGAACATTTTCTGGAAAACGTTCTACTGTGCGCTCGGAGTTTTGTATCCGACTATGATCCTCATCACCATCCTCGCGACTGCGAATCATTATATTCTGGATGCGATGGTGGCGTTTGTGTATTGTTGTATTGCATTTTTGGCGAATAAGGTGTTTTTTGTGTTGCTTCCAATCGAGGATTTGTTTCTTTGGTGTATCCGCGCGGAGAAACCTATACCCAGTACAGGAGAGAGGTTTCATGCTAGGGGTGGGAGGATATAAGGTGCATATATCTCTGGCGTTCTTGGGGACATCAGCATGGGTGCAGATGTTAAAAAACTTTTCCTTTGAAGGCGTGCATAATTTTGCATTGTACTGTACCCAATATTTTGCACTAGACGACAGCGCAGCTTATCAGCGGCTCACGAAGATGGATCAAAAGTCAATCTTCTTCTCTTTCTTGAACCCCTTCCTCGTGCGACGCTCGCTATGCCCACCATGAATTCGCCATCAACTGCACCAGAGCAATTCCTTCAATCACCAACCCCAGTACCACATTCACACTTGGTCCATTGCCTGATGTTCCATTTGCACGCCGGCGAGCCCGGTTCCTTCTCCCCCCACTTGCCCACCTCCTCTTTCCTTCCGCTGTTGCTGTTTCTGCTGTTGTCGCAATTCCCCTTTTGTTGGGGGTTTGTGTTTTGGTTCGGTATTCTTTGGTTGCTGGAGTGGTTTGTTCTTGCGGTCGTGGTGTAGGATTTGTGACATGTTGCCTTTTTCTTCTTCGTCGCTTTTGGAGTGTGTTGTGCTGTGCTAATAGGAGACATGCTGGAGATGAGAACGCTGCATTTTTATGTTGATGGGGAACAGGAGGGTGGTGGGACATGGTTTCATGTTCCTTATTAGCGATGAGTGAATTTGCATTGTGAGCCATGAGTAGCAGGTGGTGTCTCAATGCTGAGTTGACACTCTCTATGAGCTTGAAGCGAGACCTGCAGTTTGTCCTTAGTGGAAAGACCGTTTCAACAGCCATGCTTTTACTTCTGCCGTTAATGTCTCAATGAATTGGGCAAACTTCCTAGAGCTTACCGAAATCATTCGATGCATTCATAATTCAGAGCTCGGGTGGTGTTGTGAAGCTCGCAGAATAGGCGCTGCTTTGCGGGAATGCTTGCAATGCGATACAAGACCTCGCGCGGGACCGGCAACCTCGTGTCACTCTCAGAGTCCTGGGTAAGGTTCGAGACTGCGACTGAAATCCCGTTTGTAGGGTTGCGTCACCAATGTCGCTCACTCGAAGCGCGCATGTGAAGCGCTAGGCAGGGATCAGGTGGTCCATGCTCCATTCCTGCCTGCGCAGAGAGTATAAGCGTTTCCCCCTCCACGCTCCGACTTTCTCTTCCTTTCCTCAACTTCGCCAAAGCTTGCACCACTTAATGACTGTCCCAAGTCTGTTGGCCGAAAAATGTCGAACAGTGATTCTCTTTTAGTGGAATGCTTTTCAGTAACGCTCTTGTAGAGGAACTCTGTTCGACGTAATAGGGCGCGGGTCCTTGCTTGTCTGCAATTATCATGGTGCGGACTCGAACTTGGACTGGAACACCGCAGTTGGTTCTCCCCGCAGACGGTCCTTTGCCATGAGATTCGTTGGGAATGGGACTCACCACCAGAAGCGTCGCATGGCGGTCCACCATCAACGCCGAAGGTCGCGAGTCTGGTCAAGCTTACGCGCAACGAAGGTCGTCAAACAGCCTGAGCGCATTTTCGGGATCAGGGGGATATTGTACGTAATCCTTGCGGATTGTACTTCATGGAGCAACCAGATATCAGAGAAAGCAGCACTCGATCGGCGGATTGGAGTTCTCGCTTCATCGCGCAGACATCCTCTTCTTTCTGTGCGCGGATGAGCAGGTGTTTCAACAACACCTCACCTCTCCCCGTACGTGTTCAGCAGAAAGTCGACCGACAGTTGAGTTGTTGTCCGAGGACAGCACAGGCAGTGAGATCCCTTCGGACACCTTTACTGCTGCCGTCCAAGGAGTGCGCGATCCCGAGCTGCATGAGTGGGTCATGTATAGATAGGGTATCGTGCGAAGTCTTTCTACCTGAAGTCTGTCCATCGGTCGGACCAGCTGATGGTGTGTTGCACTGCGATTGAACCCATTGTGGTACGGCGCAGCAACTTTTCATTCAGCCCTAGCCAGTGGTTGAGGAAAGATTCTTGCGCTTTTTTTCATCTTTGCATTGCTATGGCTGCGCCGAGGAGAAGAAAGATCTGAGGCGCGCGAGAACATGCTCCGGCGCTTGGGTTTGTCTTGTAGCTTGAGCGACCACGACATCGCCACGTGCACGCGAGTCTTGCGTGCATGTGATACTGACCCACATGCCGTCGTGAACATGTTCCTGCTTTCGCCGACATGGATCGACGACGTCAGCTGGAGGGCCTGGTTCTGTGTCACAAGGAACCTGTGTGCTGGTGATGCAAATACGTCGCCTCGTCGTCGTCGTCGTCGCTCACAGAATCGTGTTTCGCTGTACAGCCGCTGGTCCGTGTACTATCATACCGGTTCACGAGAAGTGGCTTTTTGGACGGTTGAGATGAGTCAAGACAGGCCGCGCGGGACATTCCTCTCCCGAATTGTCGTCGTCGTCGCCCTGCTCGTCCTTCACTCTCCCTCCTCTCCATTGTGCATTCTCAGATCCGAAGACCGTTCGTGAGAGCATATCTCCTCGTCTTGGTGGGAAAAGCACACTTCTGAAGTTCTGAAGAAGTCACACCCTGCTCGAAGCTCTCCAACTTCGGAACTTTGGGACAATTCGAGCTGCACGAAATAGTGACCGAGTGACATCGCCTAGCAGCTTGCAACTCTCAGTGGAACTCTCAGCAGCACCCCACAATAATCTACTGCACCAGTAGTGGCTGCGTGATCAACCACCCCCAGGCATTTCCCTCCCACTACTGCGGCCCCATAACTCTACCGTGCTGCGAACTCATGCAGACCGCCTGAACATGGCTTCGACAAATCGACCACGAGTCTTCCTGGACGTCAACATCGGCGAGCGGCCTGCCGGCAGGCTGACAATCGAGCTGTTCACGGACAAAGTACCACGCACTGCAGAAAAGTAAGTCTTAGCACAGGCACAAGATCCGCGGCCTCCCGAGCTCATGGAATACAATCACTAACACCGCAGCAGCTTCCGCCAGCTGTGTACAGGCGAGCACAATGGCCTGTCCTACGAGAAAGTTCCCTTCCACCGAGTCATCGACGAATTCATGATCCAGGGCGGCGACATTGCCAAGGGCGATGGCACTGGCGTCACAAGCATATACGGAGGGGGAACTTTTGAAGATGAAAATCTCAACTGGCGCGCAATGGACGCGGCCGGCTTGGTGGCATCAGCGAATAGTGGGAAGCATACAAACGGTAGCCAGTTCTTCATTACGCTAGAGCCATGTGAGCACTTGAATGGCAAACACACCCTGTTTGGACGGCTAGTATCTGGGGAAGAGACGCTGCGCCTGATCTCGCAAGTCGCAGTGGACAAAAATGACAGACCTGTGGAGCCTGTTCTTGTCGCCAAATGTGGAGAGCTAGAGCGGAGGAAGAAGCAGAAGCGCGACTCGATACACGAGACAACTGCCCAACCACAGGCAGACGAGAGAGGCAGGCGGCGAAAGAGCGATGGGTCTGGTGATGAGATGGACACAACACCAGATCAACGCCCTCTAAATGGCCGAAGAAGCCGGCGGCAGAGTGACAATGTAGTGGATGAGGGATTGCGAGGCAGGCCACGACTCCGCTCAGTATCACGCTCGTCATCGCACCCGATCGAAGAAGAGTCGGAGAGCATGTCGGATGCGGAGCACTCGCCTGTGAAGAAGCACAAACGCAAGCGCAGCCCGTCTCCAAGCAGACACCTCGACCGCCGAGATGAGGGTGCTCAGTCTGAGCGAAGGCGGAGAAGCCTGCCGAATCAATACGACAGACAAGTCAGGAGGGATCCTGAAGGGGATCGATATCGACCGAGTCCACGTCGCGATGACAACTACAAGTATTCTGCCGGCCATCGGGGAGGCAATGATAGATACCGACCTTCGCGTGATCGAGATCGATACCAGGATGAGAACCGCCTCAGCGACGGGAGGCTCGGCGGCGGTGCTTATGATGATTTCGATCCGCCTGTCAAATTCAAAGGGCGTGGTGTGATGAAGTACCGCGAGCCTGGACGACTATAACGACCTTTACGATTGACGACATTCTTGAATGAGGGCATGGGCACCGGCGTTTCGTCTTGGCACCTTCCGCGGGAGGATCGTGTAATATTACAGCTTCACTCGAAAATGTACGGCAGACACAAAAGCTTTGGTATGCGAGAGAAAGCGCACGCGCTCTGGAAAGATGGTTATCAAGCGCTTGTCCCGATTGAACGATCAGATATGTACCGACTCGCGAACAAAATAGGCGCGTTTGCAATTCAGCCTGTTCAGATCCGTTGCTCCACAATAATTTATTCCCCGCAAACAATCCAAGCTCAATTCGGAAGGTCGTCAACCATACCACCTCATCGTGCAGATTATTATTATTCGTGTTACAGTTGATTTATGATGACGCACGGCTATATCCCACAACCTTTCGCTTTTGAGCACGGATGGAACCTGAACATCTGCATGTGGCATCCCGGCTGATCTGATCCTCACAGACTCCACCTCGCCCTACAAAGGTAAGCTTTTCGGACGGTGAGTGGAAATCTTGTGCGTTGCTCGTCTCTCGCAAGGTTCGTCAATACCATGTCTCTTTCGACAGCACTTGAGTTGCTATTGCTGGCAGGACATGCACTAGCCTCGCCACCAGGCTACGCTCCGGGATACCATGGAGATGGACCTTGGGGTGGTCATCCTCAACCCGGCCAGCCTTCCAGCTTCAACTCATGGGATCTCAAGAAATTCACCACCCTCGTCACATTCGGCGACAGCTATACCGATGACAGTCGACTGGGCTATTTCAGCGATCACGACGGTCAAGCCCCGCCAGTAGGCTGGGTCAATCCCACAGTTCGTTCGAATTTTCTCCGAAATCTCTCAGTCCGAACTCACTAACGTCTTTCAGAACTACCACGCCTCAGACGGAGGCCGTATCTGGCCCCAATACGTAAAACAGTACAGCGGAGTCAACCTCTACAACTACGCCGTCTCAGGCGCCGTCTGCAGCAACAACATCACACCCCGAACATTCTCCTACATCAACGCTCCATTTCCCGCTGTCGAACAATATGAAATCCCTGCCTACATCGCAGATTCCCAGTACATCATCCCATCTTCAGGTCAGAGATTCCTCATCACCCCCTCAGACGAAACCGTCTATTCGATGTGGATCGGAACAAACGATCTCGGCAACTACGCTTTCATCTCCGACTCCCAAGTCAAGGGAACAAATATCGTGAACTACACGGATTGCGTGTATGCGCAACTTCAACGGATCTACGAAAACGGTGGGAGATATTTCGTACTGCAGAACGTTGCGCCTCTAAATCTTGCTCCGCTTTATGCGACGCCTGAGAATGGAGGTCTTGGTCCTGGACCGGGAAATCAGTATTGGCCTGACAAACCAAGTAATAGCACAGAGATTTCTTATCGAATGGAGGAAGAGGTTGTGACTGTTAATCGGATCTATGATTTTCAGACTCCGTTTGAAGTCCTTGTCAAGAAATCCATGCCGGAGGCGAAAATTGTTGTGATGGATATGCATGGGTTGGTAAGTCAGCTCGCGAAGGTCTTTCACTCCTTTTTGTTTGCTAACGCTCGTCCCTCTAGATCTCAGATATCTACTACAACCCCGCCGCCTACCTTAACGGCACAGCTCCTTTGAATGTGACGGGGTACGTCAACAGTCATTGCAATGCCACGGGACAAGACTGCATGCCCGATCCAAACCCGGACAGTTTTCTGTGGTATGATGCTTTACATCCTAGTGAGCAAGCGGATCGCATCATTGCTAGGGAGTTTGTTGATGTTGTTAACGGTGGGGGCCGGTGGGGGATGTATTGGGGTTGAGATGGATCAGAGTACAATTTTCGTGAGCTTCGTCAGACAAGAGAAGATCTATGTAGGCCATCTAGGCAGTCACAGATTGTTTGAGAACACACAATTCTGCTTCCGCTCTGTGCTACCAGACGTATGACATCTTGCAGTCGGTGGTGTAAACTGCCGACGACCTTGATGATGAACGCCTTGAATCTCCCTCATGAACCTAGGGCGCCGATGAACACAAGTGACCTTTGTGAGGGAGTTTCGGCGAAGTTGTTAGGAGTGCGGTGGGAGGTGCCAAGGTGCTTCCAAGGCAAGTGCCAAGCAGGGTCCAAGCGCACGTGCCGCAGCCGAGTGAATGCCGCGCGCCGATGATGCCGAAGCGCATCCAAAAGTCCAGAACACCGTCACAAGCAGCCCGACTTTCATTCTCTTCTCTTCCTAGACCAGACATTCACGATCACGAATCATTCAACTCTCCGCACAGACAAAAGCCTCTCTGTCTGCAGCCGACCTGTCCTCAGCAAACGCCGGCAAAAACTTTGTCCTACTGTGACGTGCACCCGCTTCCAACCTCCCGACCAACAACGTCAAACGACATCACACGACCAGTCCGAAAAAATATCTCTACGCCACTGGGAGCACCTCAAACACCATCGCGATGGCGAACGAGAGCCAAACATCCATCAACATCCCCCAAATCATCGCCGTCGCAGTCGTCGGCTTCCTCGCGATACGATGGTGGATGAGCAAGCCCACCACCACCACAGGCGGCACAAACCGCTCATCGCAAAGATCAAGACCCGTCGATCCCGCACAAATCGATCAAGTCGCCTCCATGTTCCCGCAACTCGACCGACGCAGTATAGCGTGGGACTTACAACGAAACGGCGGCAGCGTGGAAGCGACTACCGAGAGAGTACTGGGCGGAAGAGGCCTGGAGACTCCACCACCGACGTTTCAACCTGATCTCCCCAACACACCTGCGACGACGACTGGTAGTGCGAGAAATTCTTCTTCGGCGGGGAAGAGTGAGCTTTCGCGACCGGATCTTATTACGAGGTATGGGTTGCAGAGTAGAGTTGGGGGGAAGGGGAAGGAGGCTGTGCTTAGTGAGGAGCAGAAGAGGATGGCGCGTGGGTGGAGTTCGGATAAGGTTGCGAGAGCTGAGGGGTTGAAGAGGAGGAGGGAAGAGATGATTTTGGCGGCGAGGAGGAAGATGTTGGAGAAGGACAACGAGGTTGCTGTATCATCGTGACGGCGGATTTCTTGATTTTTCTCGCCTGGTTTGCTTGCTTGCTTGCTTGGATGTCCTGTCCTGCGCTCTGAGTGTGAGATGCTTTTTCTTTAAGCTGTGTATATGTATATGAACCTGCGCTTCGAGTTTCATATCTACATCAGCTTCAAGTTTTCAGACACATTGCTTGCTTGTATCAGTCATTATGGCTACGCTCCGCTCTACTGATTACAACGTCGGCCTGAAAACTGTGGTAACGACCATCGAGGACCGAAATCCCTTGCAATAACCTCACATCAGTCTGCAATCGAAGATCAATACGACCTTCAAGAACGATGCCGGCGGGCACTGCCGAGATCACACGATCAACAACATTCCTCGCACACCGAGTGAATATCAACGTCGATCTCGATTCGCAGGTCCAAAGCTAGATGGTATTGGCCAGCAAATCGTACCTCTGGTCACTCACTCCTGCTTCACCAAGACTATCTGTAGCTTTCCGTTCGAGACAAGTAGGTGTCGGTGTCGGTGCGTGAAATCGATTACTCTCACAATTGAGTGAGAGACGAAAACGTTCTCCGTTATAGGCCTTGAAAATGAGGCCGCATATTGCAATTAAAACAAAATCGCCATGGTATATTCGGAAGCTAGACACGTAGGTATATCAATTAACCAACCATGAACCCCCACAGATCGTGGCCAATCTTTCTTTTCCAACTAATCCTTCTCATCCACAGCAGTCTCCTCGTGACCCACCGACTTCTTCCGCATAACAGCAGTCTCAATATCCGCCAAACTAGACTTGCGATGATCGCCACCGACCTCCTGGACCTCCTGGAACGAGACGGTGGGCACGAATTTGGAGGAGTGCCATGCCTTGGGAACTTTGGCGTACAGCTCGTCGACTTGCTCGAGAGAGAGACCTTTGGTTTCGTAGATCAAGGCCCACACGAAGAAAATGCAGACGAAGCAGAAACTGCCCCAGATGAAGAAGACTTTGGATTGTAAGTTGGCGTTGCCTGGACCGTCGTCGACTAGGTAGGGGGTGGAGTAGGCGATTGCCCAGTTGAGGAGCCAGTTGGAGGCGGTGGTCATGGAGAGGGACTTGGCGCGCACTTTCAGTGGGAAGATCTCGCCCGTGACGACCCAGGCGCATGGACCCCAGGAGCAGGCGAAGAAGAAGATGTAGATGCAGACGAATGCGATCAGGGCTTTCTGTGCGGCGAGATTCTCGAGACCGGCTCCTGTACCGACTCCTGCGACGATGTACTGGCAGACAGCCATGCCGATGGCGCCGAAGAGGAGGAGGTTGCGGCGACCCCAGGTCTCGACCATCCACAGACCTGGGAAGGTGGAGGACACGTTCACGGCGGAGGTGATCATGCTGACGACGAAGGAGTTGGTGATGCCGGAGTTTTTGAAGAATGAAGTTCCGTACTGTGGGAATGTCAGTGGCAGCGCCGATTTGTGGGGGAGTGGTTTGCGTTTGCACTTACGTAGAAAATGAAGTTGACACTACAAAACGCGAAGGGAAAGTGGTTAGCAACACAAGTCTCTCTCACACGTCGTGGTGTATGCCAACAGACAGACTTACCCAGTGAGCTGCTGGAGGGCTTGAAGGAGACAACCAGTAGCGAGACGCTTTCCGAGGTTGCCCCTGAAGCAATCGAAGTATGTGGCCTTACCGAGCGAGAGCTCGTACTCGTGGTTGGCGGTGATTTCGCCCAACTCTTCGACAAGTGCTGGGTGGTCGACGTCCAATCTCCTGAGTCGCGAGAGTGACCTTGCAGCTTCCTCTGGCTTGCCACGCTTGATCCACATACGTGGAGTCTCTGGAAGCAGCAGCATGCCACCGAAGAGGATGAGGGCCCAAGCGAATTGCACGGCAATTGGGATGCGGTAGCTACCAGTGTCGTCGCGGTCCTTGGTGGCGTTATTAAGGACGGCAGCGAGAAGGAGACCGATGGTGATAGCCAGCTGGTAGCAGCCAACAATGGCACCACGAATCCACTTTGGTGCGGTCTCGGATTGGTAGAGGGGGATAAGTGCGGAAATCATGCCCACACCGTATCCAGCGAAGAATCGTCCGGCAACGAAGAGTGGGATAGCGGTGGCGGCAGTCTGGAGAACAACACCCAGGGTGAAGACCATGGTGGAAACCATCAATCCCCATCGTCTCCCGAAGAAGTCTCCAGCGGGTGCAGCAGTCAAGGCACCGAAGAAGGTTCCAGCAGAGAGAATGGAGACAATCTCGGAGGACTGCGAAGATGTGATGCCTGGTCCACCAGTCTTTGGGTTCGTGTATCCAGTGGAAAAGGTCTTCAGCCAGTAGGGCATGGCCAGAATGCCACCAATTGTTCCTGTGTCATAGCCGAACAGTACACCACCGAAGGCGACGAACAGACCGACGACGATGGCAGGCCATGCTGCACCGGCGGTGCCTGGTGGAGGCTTGATGGTAATAGGCATGTTGATGTCCTTCGACGATGGCGACCAAGTCGAGGATGAGGAAGACTCTGAGGCCGCGGCGGGAGAGGAGGTGAGGGCCGGTGGGCGGTGGGCGGTTGGCGGTTGGTGGTTGGCGGTTGGCCTTTGATGCTATTCTACCAGGGCGGCAGCTTAATTATAACATGTGCAGCCGTGGAGTCCATGTCCATGCGCGCACTCTGGAACGGTAGCATGAGATCCATGAGGGGTCCATGCCCACGAGACCAGACAGGACCCCTCGATACTAAACCGAGCCCCAGCTACCCGCCCGAGCCCCAGCATAACCCGAGGCTAGCACCATTGTAGAATCGGCTTTGTATAGAATTACGTGCTCTTTCTACCTAATATAGGCTATTTCCGTTCTTGGTTAGTGTTGTCGACGGGCGCGTAGCGCGTTACCTAGGAAGGAATTCTACTCGAATCTACTATATACCTAAAATTCGCATTTCTTCCCCCTTTTGCAGTAGATTACCTAGTAACTATCGAAAATGGCTAAATCTCTATTATACGAAGAGTTTCTCGATAATCTTATCGCCGGCGGCGCGGCAGAGGTAGTAGTAGAAGGCGCGCTCTCGGCGGTAGAAGAAGGCTCGGCGGTAGAAAGTATTAAAGGTATAGAAGGCGCGCTGTCGGTAGCGGCGGCGGCGGATATTAAAGAGGTAGAAATAGTAATAGATAGCGCGCTCTCGGCGGTAGAAGGTATTAAAGGTATTAAAGGTATTAAAGGTATTAAAGGTATTAAAGGTATTAAAGGTATTAAAGGTATTAAAGGCGCGCTACTAGCGGTAGTAGATATTAAGTCGTAGGAAGAGGTCTAATTTGTCTCGGAGACGCGTATTCGAGGTCGCTATCGCTTACTAAGCCTACCTTGCGAGCGTGTCGCTTTGTCTAATAATAGGTTAGTGTCGCTACGACCTTAGAAGCACCTATTTTCGCTAAAAGAGCGCCGCCGTAGACCTTTACTACGAGAGTTAATATTTAGGTTTTATTATACCCTTATCGAGTACGTCTATACCTTCGGAAAGTCGACTAGATATAAGTTTAAGTAGTACAAGCCGTAGAAGAACAAGAATAAGGTTAAATACAGGTACCTCTTCGTATATAGTTGCTACGGTTTACTAGATAAGCGTACCTAGAAGGAAGAGATAAAGCGGAAGTCGACTTCGAAGAAGATAGGTTATAGGTTCTATTTCTACGCCGTTACTATCGATCTAGCGCAACTAGAAGGTAAATAGGTAATCCGCTATTCTTTAGAAGATAACTATTGTTATTATAACTACGAGAAGGACGATATCGTCGCCCTTGCTATAGTACGGCGGAAGTTAAGGATAGCGGCTTTCTTCGAGCAATTAGAGGATCTTTAGTAAGCGCGAATGCTAACCTCGAAGATTATAGCCTATTTCCGCGACCGTAGTATTATTCTAAAGCCTAAGGATATACACAATGTTGCCTAGTCTCGCAATATTAATGCTCGATAAGAGATAAACTAGGCTTAGCGGATAGTTAAGTTATTAGACGAAAACGGCATCTTCTACGAGGTTGAAACTAATCCGGAAAATAGGGCTATTCGTTCTATAGTTGCCCTCTACCTACGGTTACTAGAAGCCTTTAAGAACACGCTATATATACTAATTATCGACACTACCTATTCTACTAATATCTATAACCTCGAGCTAATAGATATCGTTACCGCCGGCCTTATAAATAATACGATTAAGCTTAGTATTAGTCTTGTCCGTCCGAAGCTAGATAAAGCGGACTTCTTAAAGTTATTATGTCTACTACGGAAGGGCCTCGAACAAGCCGGTTGTCTAATGCCTCTTATTATAGCTACTAATCGAGAAGAAGCGCTTATGCTAGCTATTAATAATAAGTTTCCGGAGTCTAAGAATATCGTCTATAACTAGCATCTATAGCAAGATATACTAACTCGAGTCCGTAAAGAACGAGGCGAATTTAGACAAGTTAAAGCCGACAATAGGGGCTAGATAGACAGTCCTTAAACCAGCCGCTTCTTAAAGCTCTTTATATATACTATTCGTAGTTAAACTAAGTAGGAGTTTAACGACAACGCTCGGAAGTTAGACAACGTATATCCTATATTTAAGGCGTACCTAGAAAAGAACTAGTAGCGCTATAAGACACGTATTGTTTACTGCTAGACAAACGAGGTTCTACACTTCGGCTATAAGACTACTTCTCGTATCGAGTCGACCTATAGACGTATTAAACAATAGCTTAATTATAGTAGCCGCTACGACATCTTCTTACTCTTTAAGAGCCTGCTTAACTAGTAGTACGAAGGTTACGATCGTCGTCGTATTCGCCTTGCTAAGAACCTTAAGAGGTGCAATAAGGCACTAACTAGACCCTTCTAGTCTAGTATAGCTCGTATAATTAGTAATTATTGCTTACTAGAAGTAAAGGAGCAATATCTACGTACAGTCGACCTTCTATAGACTATAACTAACGATAATAGCAACGAGGTTAAGCACTCGGCCTATTCCTATAGCTGTCCTTACTATACCTATAGTAACTATACAAAATCGACCTACGGCTACCCTTATAAACACGACATTATACAGCTTCTTAAGATAGGCGGCCCTCGAGCTATGCTATTGCTATCTTACTTCTATTCTTACTAGCTTATTAACTTCCGCAAAACGGTCTATTTACGAGAGCTAGAGGTAATCTATAGCAACCGCAAACCTATAACTAGTAAGGCTACTTTGTATAGCACTAAGCGTATAGCAACGGCTCGAGAATTAGACAATTTAAACACTACTGCTATTACTAAGAAGTAGAAGACAATAACCGCTAGAATAGTTAACTTTAAGTTAGAACTAGGCGTATCTCTTATATAGCTTCGGACGACGGTTGCTAAGCACTATAAGTGCGTAAAGAGCTAATGCCGCACTTAATAATGCCCTTGCTAGAGGGCTAACTATACGTATAGCTCTGCCTACTATCTAAGCGGCTTTAAGTGCTATAATCTACGAGTCGAGTCTTTACTTCTAGCTGCTCCGGAGCTACCTTCTAAGCTAGATCTACTTCGCCGAGAGATTAAGGACCTACGAGTACGTAAGAACTAACGTCTATAGGCGGAAGAAGAGCGAGCGAGGCAATAAGCTAACTATAGCCGCTAGTAGGCGGCATTGTATAAACAATAATAACGATAGGCTGCTTAGCAATACTACTAGTACTAGCAATAACAATAGTCGCTTATATAGCTAATAGGGCGGCTACTTTATTACTAGATACTATAGTAATAGTACTATTAGTTTACTTAGTAGTAGTATTATATATAGCAGTAGGCTAGTTAGCAAATAAGGGACTAATATAAGCTAGTATATATAGCATTACGTAGTTACAAGGCTGCAGGTCGTAATCCGCTTAGACCTAAGTAGATAGCAACTAACAATACCTTGAATTTTGCTATACTACTAATTTGCTAACAAACTTTAGCTTTATAGCTGCTAGCAGCAGTATAGTAGTGGTTGCCCGGTCGTAGGGGCTGCAGCGACGCGATTATCCGCTTCTACACGCGATTTTGTATAGAATAGCCGATCTCGTAATCTCGGGTTATGCTGGGGCTCGGGCGGGTAGCTGGGGCTCGGTTTAGTATCGAGGGACAGGACAACCCACGTCTCCAGCCATACACGTTCCAGCTCCCATGTGCGATGCATCATGCCGCCAGGTGCGCTTCCCCAAGGTAGGAAGCTTTCCTGTCTGGCAAAGGGGTCTGAGCTCCGGGCCGAATAGCATGCGGCTCCCCAACTCTAATCACATCGCCTGTCGGTGTGCCTGGGAGCAGTCAGCAGTCAGCAGTGAGCACTACATACGACGAGATGCGACCATTATTGCCACGGGCAGTCGTATCGGAACAGGTTAGTCAAACAACGAGATGTGAGCAGGCCGCCTGCACTCGACGGACGACGTGCTTTCCGCTGCTCCACGGCAAATTGCGTGCAGCCTGGGCCGTGCACAGAACATGGCATGGTGCATGGATGCTGCGGAGAAAGCTCGTGGAGTCATCATGGTACAGCCGTACAGTACAGGAGATCATGGAGCAGCCATCCGTCTCGCAGATTCGGCCGCTCGATTGGATTGCTTCTAGACTCACCATGTATACGGCAGCGGCGCATATACGCTCGCTCGAGGCCGTCTGACTGCATGGCGTCCGCCCGGCGTCCAGGTGGCCAGGCCAGGCCAGGCTAGAATAGGTGGCGCGGTGCTCCAACTGCACGCGAAATGCACTCCACAATATTGCGGTATTCAGAAGTGCGCGCCATGCGCGGAGACCTCGTGACTTTCGCGTACCCTTAGTTTTTCCGTAGACCCACACTCTCTATATAAAATAGGAGGCAGTCTAGGGACGGAACGAAAGCCTTTCTTACTACTGCCTACTTAGGTCCTCTAGTAACAGTTAGGGTTAAGAAGGAGGCTAATATAGAAGCCGTCGCTATACTTAGAGCTTCTAAACGACTATAGAAGCTTTCCTCGAAGAAGAAGGAGGCCCTTCTCGCTTAGCAATCGACTAACCGAGCTACTAACAATACTAATAAGAGGCGCCGCCGAGAGCCGACTATTAAGCTAAGTAAAGGCTCTAATACTAACGACGAGTTACTAGTAGACACTTAGCAAATCTAGCAAACTAGTATCGACGACGAGGACTATATATCGGCCGAAGAAGAAGACGAAGCTATTAAACAAGAGCGAGAGGTCTTCGACTACGTATTATAGTAGACAATAGCTAATCTAGCTAACGTACGGTTACTACTATCGAGTAAGTGCTTTCCTTATAAGGTTAATAACAATAGCGACTCCTACTATAAGGAATTCTATACCTAGTACGCTAATTAGCTTACAACCGGCTCTAACGACGACGACTACAAGTTAGCTAGCTTAGAGATTGTCGCCTTAGCGAATAAAATTAAAACTAAGCACTATTTCCGCAGTACTAGTATATAGAAGGGCAATTTCTAACGTACGTACGATATACTAGCCTCTTAGCATTCTTAAGGAAGGAAGGGCCTAAGACTAGACTTTAAACTAACTATCGAGCGGCAGAAGACAACCGTAGAGCTAAGTAGACCCTCGTAGGCGTAGGGTCGTCGTAATAACCGTAGAACTAGCACTACTCGTAATACGGCAACTTAATAGCAATTAGACGCTTTGTACGCTAGCTAGGCCGAGGTTAAGGGTTAATCTAATGCCTTAGAAGCTAGAGCCGACGACAATAACTCTACCTTAATCGGCTCGTTAACTAACGCTCGCTATAAGTTGTTAAAGCGTTAGCCTTACAAGAACAGATACTGCCTTAACAAGGGTAGCTTGTATTAGTTTAGCGGTCCGGACAGAGCTAAAGACTACTACAAGATCTATCCTAACGTTACAAGCCGCTAGATTAAGGGTATTAAAGAAGGGCGCCTAACTATAGGTAATCTAGGCTTAGTATTAGCCTTAAAGATATAGAAGAACCGCGGTAGGCAACTTGCTAATCTATTTAAGACTCTACGGACTACTAGAATAGCCGCTATTAGCTCTTTAACCCCTATAGTAATCTATAATTACTATAGCTAACAGGCTCCGTAAAAGCGCTCTCGTATAGCTAGTCCGCTAGTAGCTTCTAGTCTACTAGCTAGACTGCAATCAAGTCCAATTCTAGCCTTAATCGCTTCCTATTAATCGTATATAGCGGACATAGAATTAATAGGCTTCTTTAGCTAGTTACGTGAAGAATTAAGTAGCAGCTAGACCGAGCGACACGCTAATATAGCTAATATTAAGCGTATATTCGCTAAAGAAGGCGACTTCTTACTTAAATAGCTAAGGAAGGTGAAATTGAGCCGTTAGGTTGCTACTAGACTTAAAGAAGGCTAATACGCTCGGTTTGTTGCTACAGTTAGTCGATACTTCGACAAGGAAGTCCGTAAGCAGCGGCTTAGTCGGATTAACGAGTCGTCTAACGGTCTATTCTTTAGTTAGCTGCAGAAGCGCTGTTTTAGTATAGAAGCGAGGTAGATTTTCGGGTATAGGTCGGCGGCTTAGAAGTTAATATTTAGCTTAACTAAAGTCGCTTCTTATTCTACTAATACTACGTATTTTTGTATAGTATAACTTAGAGGTGTATTAGATAGATATAGACTCGGCTCTCTATACTTATAGGAATAAAAAACAATGCGTTATAGTATTGCGCTAGTATCGAGTCGAAGTAGTTAAAATTAGCTTATAAGGTCCGGAGCCGCTAAGCTAAACCGCCGAGCGGAAGCCGAAATTTCGGCAGTCTCGGTATAGAGAATATACTAGAAGTCGTAAATTTCTAATATATTGCCGAGCCTATATCTTTACTATAAGTGCATATTTTTTTAAACGGATAACGGGAGGTTGTTTAGCGGTATTAATAGTAGTATTTCCTACCGAAGAGATAGTATAGATGTATTATAGTAGTATTGTAGTAGTAGCCTATCGGTCGATATAGATTCCGGCTTTCGAAGCTATACTCTCCGGATCGACACTCGATTCCGATACGAATACAGCGACCTACCGATAGCACTGCCTTAAATGAACTTAAGGTAATACTAGCGATATAAACGGCTTAGAACCTACCAAATTCTAGGCTCTTTAGTCGCAATAGCTACCGGTAGCGTATTAGAGGTATGCCTATTAGGTATTATTATAGGTTTAACTAATTCCTAGTAGATTGCCGACAGTTAAGAAGACGAGGACCTTATACGAGATGCGACTACTGTATTACCGTTAGCTATCAATTTAAGAAGCTTATCGCTATAGCTAGTATTGCTAGATCTATAGCATATAGAAGCGATAATAAAGGAGCATACTACTAATACTGCGCGTGCAATTATAGAGGAAATAAGACAGGAAATAGAAGAGTTAAAAGGCCGTATTACTAAGCTAGAGATAGTCGTTAGTATAAGCGAGTCGTTAGTATAAGCGAGTTTATATAATAAGTGTAATTAGTATCTCTAACCTGCCTTCTAAAACTATGCTTCTACGTACTATTCTATATTTAACTCGTTAATAGCATGCCTTATAAACTGTCCGAAGTCGACAAAGCAGTTAGCCTCGTAGATATTCTTCTTAACCTATGCCTTTAGTAACGAGAAGGACAATTTAATAGGATTGAAGTCCGGTAAGTATAGCGGTAGCATCTTTAGGTATATACCTGCTTGTCGATACGCCTCTTTTATACCGTCGGTACGATAGATTAACGCATTATCTATAACTAACACTATACCTGCTTCTATCTGCGGAAGAATAGTATGCTTTAGCTAGTACTCGAACATTAATCCGGTAATAGAGCCTTAGTAAATAAGCGTGCCTTAAAGGTATCTATTAACCCCGATTGTAGGTAGAATACTCTACCTCTTCGACCGTACGATACTACCCTCTTTATAGATTAGACGATTAATAGGACCGTATCTATACTTCCGCTACTTAGTACGCTTATTCGAAGCACTCTTATCGATAGTAACGACCTTATCCGGCGACACGCCTATTTACTATATTCTAAAGTTATCGCGTAGCTCGCTATTTTACTTATATGCGATACGAAAAGCCTTCTTCCTCGTCTACCTACGCTCCTTTAATATACGCGATATCGTCGGCTAGCTTACGACAACGCTAAACTCGTTATATAGATACTATATTACCTTATCTTAGTACGCTATCGGTCGATTAGTAAGGAACTCGAGGATGCGCTATAGTAAGAGGCGGATTAGTTATAGGTACCTTAAAGAGCCGGAAATATATATATCTTCGTAGATTAGTAGCAGCTTCCGTAGGCGCCCTAATTTTATAAGGTTACGTATATAGAACATACTAAATAACTTATAGTTATTATAGAGCTTGTCTATAGTGCGCCTAGCAATATTTATAAGGTCGCTAATGCTATTATTCGATAGGCGACCTTCGTCGAAGAGGCGCTTTATCTCGTTAAGCTAATCGTTAGGTAGGCGCGCTATTAATAATACCTTAAAAGGGTCTATACTATTAAAACAGCGACAATATAGAATTTAGCTATAGTAGTAGAGATCTAGACTGCCAAGAACGCCAAGTTGCTAACTAATTATAGTAGCAGCTAGCAGAAACCGAAACTCGGCCCTCCGACCCTATAGCGCGCACTTCTAAATACTACAATAGTTCTATTTGCCGCTACCCTTCCGACTTCGAGCCCTCGAGGATGCATCGCCGTGCCGTGCCCTCCTCTGCAAAGCCCGGGGCTCTAGAAAAGCGTGTAAGAAGGTGCACTGCTTCGCTAACTTCGGTCCGTAGATATAACGAGCTACGTGCGCGATGCGGTGGCGTGTTGCATTAGAGCGCACACGCGAGCTGTAATGAATTGCTGCTGTCTACTGTAATGAAGTCTAAAGATCAGATCGCGACAAGCTTTCCCTTCCCCGTTCTTAGCTCGTTAAGCTTGTCCCTATTATAGGTGTCTGTATTCTAGCAACGCGCTAATTCTCGGGTAGCGTATTCCGTAGAGATCCACAATTGAATAACGTTTTGTATACCCCGCTAAGACTATAAAATTCGTATATATTCGCGTTATAATTTTAGGAATTTTTAAATTACTACTACCTCGTTACCTCTATTATCGCTATAATAGAGAAACTACTAGTTATCGCTATACCTAAAGGTAATAGCGATGCGCTTAGCAATCTTAGCGTCCTTCGCGATAGGCTCTTCCTTATTAATAAGGATATACCGCTATCCTATACTAAATAGATTGTTGCTATTAAACTAATATCTAATATATATAGCTATACTCGTATAATAGTCCCTAAAAGAGACTATAATAGCAGTATCGTTTCTAGGTTCTATTATAAGTATATTAAGGCTAAGCGGATAGAAGCGGCGGAAGCAAAAAAGAAGAAGGTCGACGATATATCTAGTCGCTAGAAGCTAGAATATACGCTATTTAAGCCTTATAAAGTTAGCCTTATTATACTATAATACTACGATAGTAAGGCTACTAAACCGACGAGAGTAGTTGTTTAACGTACCGATTATCGCTATAAGTATACCTATAACCTATAGTATAGCGATACGCGGCGAACGAATATATACCTAAAAGAGATAAGTTAAAAGAAGTTAGATAGATCGCCTCGAGTAAGTCGTACGAGAGACTTCTTAAAGGACAACTATAGCGATATTAGCGGCAATTCTGTCTATTATTAAACGTTATATAACCTAGCGAGAAGCTTACTATATTATAACTAAGATAAGCGATATATTGTCCCTAGTAAGAGCGCTATTCTACGGCAAATTAAAGAGGTAGAAGAGCGTACGATTAAGCGTAGTTATTGCTATTAAACCTTCGTAATAGACACTTCAAAAGGGCTTAAGAATAGTATTATATATACTAGTAAGAAGGGCATTAAACTACTAAAGAGATATAGCGAGTTCTTATCTATAGACGCTACGTACGATACTAACAATACTAGCTTCTATCTTCTTAACCTCTTCGTACGAGATAAGAATAACAAACAACGCCCTATCGCTTATATACTTATTAAGAGCTAGTATACTATTGTTCTAGCGACTAGCTTCTAGCACTTATTATTATAGGCCGATTACAAGAAGCCTAGAGGTTAGTACCTAAAATAGGTAATTGTTAATAACTCGGTATAAAGGGCTACGCTCTAGATAGAAAGCGCTAGCCTTAGGCATTCGGCCTACGCGACTCTAACCTACTACTTAGCGCTTAGCGTACTATATAAAACTATTCGGATTTACGTAGATAGACTTAGCTCTTTATCGAACCTATTAAGTCTTATATCTAGTATCTACGTACGCGTTGCTTACCCGTAATATTAGGTTCGATCTTTAATATAGTAAAGGACGGAAACTAAAACCACTACTACTACCTATAGTAATAGTATAGGCTACCGAGGGTAACATAACCTATAGCAATATAGGCAGCTATGTTTAGTATAATAGGATAACAAGACGGTTACTTAGGCTAATAACTAGAGCCCTGCAATATAGGCATTGTAGAAGTGTAACATAAACAATATGCTATACGAGGTTAGTAATCTGTCTACTCTATAGAAGGAGGCCTCTTATATAGGCTTAAAACTAGCCTATAGGTATAGGGCCGGTTACTAGCTAATATCCCTCCCTTTCTTCGTGTCTAACTAGACACGTTTTACATTATGCGCGCTTAAAACAAACATATATACATCCTTAGCGCTCTTAGCTAAGGCTATTCTTAGAACTCTGTAATAACACCCCCGGGGTAGTATTAATCCTAGACGCTATAATTATGCAAAAACAACTTCCTAGGCAACACTATACAGACTTACTATTGCTTTAACGCGCCGTAATCCTTACTAGCAATAACCTTATCTGCTAGTCGGCTCTCGAAATCTCCTCCGTATACGTTAAAGCTATTAGTACCGAAGTACTGTCCCTCGTAGAAAGCTTAATTAACGAGGAGGTTAGTAGCCTTTTCCGTCGCAGCTTTCTCCTAATCGTATAGATATTCCTTAAGTCCCTCGTTATTAAGCTAGAGGATCTATTTAACTTCGTTCTAAATAACGTAACTTAACTAAGGAATCCTACTAACTAGGGCGTCGGAGATACAACCGAGGCCTTCGACTAAGATAGCCGTAGGGAAAGCGAATAGTACGAAGGAGTTAGAGGCTAGGAGGGCGGTTAGATTGCGGTGCGCTTTAGCAACCTAAGAGACTGTTAAGTTCTCGTAGCCCTTAACCTTAGTACCGTTAATAACGCGAGAGTAGCCTAGGTTAATTAATATACGGTTGCTTTTAGTCTTTAGATTACTATATAGCAGGTATAGCATCTAAATAGAGACCTCGCACTCTTTTAGAGGGTTAAGGATCTACTCCGCTTTACGCCCTTTACTATTAGGCTAACTATCGAACATATAGTCGAGGTCGTCGTCGGTAAGGTACTTATTAGTAAGCTTGCCGATCTTGCTTAGCGGGACTAGGCTACGAGCCTTAAGCTTCTCAACCTAGTTCGTAAAGACCTCGGGCTAATATATGCCTTCGATAATAGTAGAGTAGCTAGTCTTATCCTTAGACATAAGACAGACCTTAATACGTAGGTAACTAGCACTCTCGCTAGCTGCGAGCTTAACTATATCTTATCCGAGACGAGTAGACTCCTTAGAAGGACAGTTCTCGTAAGTACCGCTAACCTTAAAGAACTTAGTAGGCTTAGGGACAGAGATAAGCTCGTATACGTAATTAGGTCGAAGGGCGATAGCTAGGAGCTATAGGGCAGGATACTAGCGGACGATTTAGTTGCTTATACTATAAGTTTAAAGGGCATTGCGGCCTTCTTGCTTAGACTTAGGCATATTACGCATATACTAAAGGTATATCTTAAACTCTTCCTATATTAGGTCGATAAGGAAAGGAAGATATGCTCTACGAGGCTCTTATAACTAACTAAAGACTTAAGGGAAGACAGTATTACTAGTCTAGCGAAAGCGATCGAAGGAGGTACCTTAGCTAAGAATACCGGTAACGAACTTGCTCTAGCGATCCGTTAGCGTAAGGGCGCGAGTAATAGTACTAGTAGGGTTAAACGCGTAGAGTCCTAGAGATGTCGGGGCGGCAATAGGGCGTCTAGGAAACTAGTTAGTATAGGCCTAATTAGCCTTAAGGGTAGCGAAGGCGTCTTAATTAGGAACCTCGCGACTAATCTTTAATAGGCGACCGACGAGGACACTCGCCTTAGCACTAGCATAGAGACTATAGACCTTAGCGGCCTTCTTAATATAGTTAGCATATATCGAGAACGGCTCTTCTCCTAGCTTACTAAGGTCGTCGAGCTATTAATAGATAGAGAGGGCGGTAGAAGCTTCGCCTATTACGGCTTTAGGAACTATATCGATCTTAGTAATAAGGTACGTAATAGAGTCGCCCTTATAAGAACTATAGATGTTCTTAGTTAATAGGATTAGCGAGAGCCCTCTATCTCTACGCTCGCTAAAGGAGCCTTCGGAGGAGACATCTTCTAGTAGTATATCTAGCATATTAACATCCGAGTTACTATAGTTAGTACTATAGTTAGTACTAGAAGGGGCGCTATACTTCTTAGTAGCCTTGCGGAGGGCCTAGCGAGCATGCAATGCCTTCTTACGCGCTGCTTCGGCCTTAGCGCGCTCGTCCTTAACTTCCTAAGGGACCTTACGGTTACGGGTCGAGCGACGGTCTTAAGCCTACATCTCCGTAGCGAGCGCGAGACTAGTAGCCGTATCGGCCTCTATTTCTAGGCGAAGAGCCTTGCGTTTAAGGACATTAACGATAGGAGCCTCTTAACCTTTAACAATAAAACCTGTACTATTAATACGATAGCCCTTCTCTTTTAGTAGATCCTTAGTTGTCTATACGTTAAGATCGACCTAGACAATCGCATCGTAGTGCTTCTTCTAGTAGGCTATCGTAAAGTCGTTAAGCGTAAAGGACAAGTTAAGTAACTGCTTACCTACCTTCTTACTCGCGATAGATATACGATAGATTATAGTACGGGAAAGATGCTCGGCGCCTTAACGACGGACCTTATACTTATTAACGAACGAAGAGACCTACTTAGTACGCTCTTATCTACCGTAGGCGAAGTTAACAAGGCTCTTAGGAAGACTGCTTAGTCCTCCTTAATGTTCGAAGGCCTAGTCGAGGGTCTTAAAGCGCAAACGAATCTAGGTGCTAGTAGTCTCGAGGCTATAGACGATAGGAAAGGCTTGTTTAATATCTATATCGTTAAGAACCTCGCGCTTAAAGATACGCTTACCGATAGACTAACGTAAGTTGTTTATGCCGTACGTAACTAAGATAGCAGCCTTCTTAATATTCCTATTAATAACGCGTAGTAGGGTGCGAGCGTTCTAGATCTTCTCTTAAGGGTCTTTAAGGGCGGTAACGATCTAGAAGCAGTGCTCGAGGCTAGTTGTAGTAGCTAAGGCGCTATCGGATAGGGCTTCGATCGGGACTAGTACGCCTAGGTTTAGGGCTAGTAGGTTGCTACTACTACTAGCGCCTAGCGGATTTAGGGCGCCGGAAGATATCTTAGTCGACCGGAGCGGAAAGGAGTTAGTAACGAGCTTGCAAAAACGTTCGTAGCTTATTAATAATAATTAAAGGGTTTAGATAGAAGAGGGGGGGGGGTAGGCGGTAGTAAGTTAGTTAGTACTCGAGTAGAAGAAAGAGCTTAGAAGGCTCGCCTTAAATAGGGTACGAAGGTAGCGTAGTCCGTATATTCCGGTAAAGCAAACGGATAACGATTATATATAGACTCTAAAAAGTAAAGCTATATACGAGACTCCTTTGTTAGTAGGGCAGCTAAAGTTTAACAATCGATCTAGCTAATTGCTAGTAGCGACTACGCGCCTTTATTAACCTCTAGCTTTCGTAGATTCCCGCGTACTCGAAATGTAACTAGTTAGTTCGAGTACCTAGTAGTAATCTATAGTAGTAAGGCTAGCAAGACTAATAACACCCCCGGGGTAGTATTAGCTTTTCTCTAGAGATGCTCGGCAACTAAGAGCAAATCGCCTAGGCCTAGCGTAGCTTATATTAGCCTATAGCACTATCGTTATAGATGCAGCATTACCTTTTATAGTAGCAGGCATATAAACGTAGCCCGTGCGTTCTTCTTTCTTCTAGACACTAAGCTTAGCGGCCTAAGGTCCCTATTCTTAGAGGCTATAGGCCTAGGTTGCTACGTCTATCTAAGAGCTAGGAAGGGAGAGGGATCCTCCCTTTCTTAGTGTCCTACGTAACTAATACTAATTAGGGTAGGAACGATCTTCTTTAGCGGAGTATCTTATTATCGTTGCTACCTAAGGGCGGTTGCTAGAGACTAGGAAACTAGAGGGAAGTAGTCCTAGAAGGGCGGGAGGTTAGGTTCGGCTAGCTTCCGAATGCTACCCCCGGGGTATTATTCGGAAGTTATGCCTCGTACAGTTCTTTTCTAAGGAAATACAAAAAGAGTAAAGCTATAGCAATATTAATCGAAGGCAAAAGACAAAAGAGCAAAACAATAGACAAGGTAAAAGCAAAGGAGGGCAATAACTAAGAGCATCAATATCCGTAGGAACTAGGAATAGGCAGTAAGGACTAAAGCTAAAGGGCAGCGCTATATTAATAGCGCGGAGAATAGTTAATAGAGGCAAGGAAAGCAACGTAGCAGAGGCAGGAAAGGATATGCGATTATTTAGTCTCGGGGTCGTCTAGCTATAATTCTAGGCGGTCTTTATCGCTAGACTAGTTAGGTTCCTCGGAGTTAGAGTTAGATAGCTAGAAGTCTAGTTTACTATTAGAATCGGAATTAATATCGGAAACGCTCTATATATAGTTAATCCGTATATAACCCTCCCTTTGTTCTTAAGTTATTCCTAATAGCTTACTAAGACGAATCTAGGGATAGGTATAGTTCTTAAGTAGAACAGGATCTAGAATAGCGGTAGGATCCTCCTCCCGATAGGCATCTAAGGACGGCAGAGGGTCTATAGAGGCACTAACTTCCTCCTCGGTTAGCGGAGGGCGGGTAGGTTCGCGTAACTTAACGATCTTCTTTAGATTAGCCCGAGGGTGAGAGTGCTTTAAGGTAGCACTATCTAGCTCCTAAAGAAGGTATACGGAACCCGAGTAAAGGACCTCCTTTACTCTATAAGGACCCTTCTACTTAAAGGCTAGCTTATAGGAGTAACTATACTCTAGTTCGGACCGGTATAGAAGGACTAGATCCCTAACCTTTAGAGGTTCCTAGTTAATAGCATTATAGTTATTAAAATACTACTTAGCTTCCTCCCGAAGGCGACGCTATCGAGCAAGACCCTCCTAAGAAGTCGTAGTTATATCCTTAAGAGCCTTAGCCCGTAGGGTAAGAAGATCTGCCCTAGTACAAACAGACCCCTAATCGTAAACGCCGTGCGTACGATAGGACAATTTAATAGGAAGAACGGCGTCCCTCCTAATTATAAGTTCCGCTAGTATAAGTCTAGTCGTATCGATAATAGTAGTTCGGTCCGCCTAGAGAAGGGCTAGACAACGGAGATGCCTGAAAGTTATTAATCTATCGCTACTATTAGTTATCTTAGATAGGGCATTAATTAACAACCGATAGCTGCGCTTAATAATAGCATTCGACTAGGGATAGTACGGGGAGATGCGAACGTTCTTCGCCCCGTACGAAACAAGTAGCGCTTAAACCTCCTTAGCTATATTGTTCGTAGCGTTGTCTAAGATAACCTCGTAAGGTGTTCCCTAGCGGCAAAACAGATCCTTAAATAGGAAGGTAGCTATATTACGGGCATTAATAGCACCGCAACCCTTATAGAAATAATAGGCCTTCGGCTATCGAGAAAGACTCTCTCGAATAATATATAGGCTATTATTGCGGCTAAGATAGACCCTATCGCTATACTACCGCTCCCTAACTAACTAGGCAGTAGGGATACGTAGCTCTCCTAGACGCCGGTAGCTATTCCTAAAGTTGCACTTAGGACAGCTCTTACAGTAGCGGGAGATATTAGCTTATACGCCGTCCTACTAGTAGCGTCGACGAAAGACATCGAAGGTGCCCTCCGCCGCCCGGTAGCCGAGCTTATCGTAAACGGAGCGAAGGATTTCTTATCGGGCTACTAGATCGTTAATAATACGCTAGAGAGGTATATTAACTATCGCTTGTCGCTAAAGGATTCGATCTTTAACTAGGAATCGTCGAGAATAGCGAATAACCCGACGGTATTAACTCTTTAACAGACTAGGAGCTCTCTTCGTATAGGTAAGGAAGTAGGCGATATTATAGGAGTCGTCGGAGTAGACCCTATTAAGGATATTATCCCTACCTAGTTCGCCTACCTTAGTATCGTCCTAGTCCTCGCCGTTAGTAGCAGAGTCTTCGTTAGGCTAGTTACTAGGTTAGTCGTTAGTAGTAGACCTAGTAATTACCGGTATAGCGTTAATATAGAAGGTAGTAAAGAAGGTGCGGTTAATAACCGCGTCGACATCCTCTTCTTCTATTATCTCGGCGATGTCTTCTTCTATAGCAGGCCTTCTAGAAAGGCTATCCGGTCTAGTGTGCTTCTTGCTAGGAACATAGAAGACGTCGAAATTAAATAAATAGATCTAGGCAACCTACCGAGCTATCGTAGAGTTAGGTAGGTCGGAGGCTATACGGTTAAGTTAATAGACTAGCGTCTAAGCGTCGACTTCTAGGCGAAAGAATACTCTAAAGAGCTAAGGTCGGAACTTCTTAAGAGCCTTATAGACACTAAGGCACTCTCGCTTGCTAGTATCGTATCGGGCCTTAATAGGTTTCTATAGACCGGACTCGTACCGGATAGGGTAACGTAAGGAGGGCTCCTTACGATTATACTATATTAGTATCTCGCCGTAGCCTTCCCCGCTCGAGTCGACAGTAACAATTAGCAGACCTACGCCTTCCGAGTAGTTAATAGAGGTAAGCGTAGGCGCGCTAACAAGTGCCTTAGTAACCTTGTCCTTAGCGGCTTAGTAAACGGAGGTCTATTTAAACTCTGTATCCTTCTTAAGTAAGGCGTATAGAGGCTTGCATACTAACGCAAAGTTTTCGACCTAGATACGGAAGTAGGAGACTACTCTAAGCCAGATCCGGACATCTTTCTAATAGGTAGGGTCGGGCTAGGACACAATCTTTAGGACCCGTATATTGTTAGGATAGCGGCCGTTCTTATTAGTTACAAACCCGACAATGTTTATTCGCTTATATAGGAGCTAGAGCTTCTCCCTATACACCGTTAGGTTAGCTCGCTCTAGGTCGTAGAGGACACTATCGAGGTTCTAAATATGTTCGAGAAAGAACCTACGGATACTAGGCTCTACTTCTTTATTGTCGTACCTAGTTTTAGGGCCCTTAATGCCGATATCGTTAAGGAAAGGCATCGCTATATAGGAGATATAGGCCGCGAGGACTTAGTTTATAATACGAACGAACTAGGCTACGGAGTTAGTTGCCCCTTATAGAAGGGTAGTTTGTCTATATAGCCTAAGAGATGTCTCGAAACTAGTAAGGTCGCGGCTATTAGGATAGAGAGGGATCTAGTCGTAGCCCGAGAAAACATTAACTAGTAAGGCTACAATATAGTTAGCAAAAGCTTCCGAGAACCTATTAGTCTCCGGAGGGAGGTTAGTATCTCTAATCGTAACTGCGTTAAACTTTTATATAGCGTTAATTAGACGGTACTTCTTTAGTTCCCTAGGAGCTGTCTTCTTCTAAACTAGGAAGTATAGGTTGCGATACGAGGCATAGGAAGGCTCTAAGGTGCTAGCCTTTATACGCTGCCGTATTATGTCCTTAACTATACCTCTTAGGCTTAGGTTTAGCTTAAACCCTAGGTAAGCCTAAGGCTTATACTCGATCGTTCGGATCCTCTATAGAGGGGCAACCTCCGGGTTAATCCTACCTAGATACATAAAGTTATATACTAATACGGCTTCGCGGTTGTATAGAAGCTCGTATAGTAAATCTAGTTTAAGATCCGAAAGCTCGATGCTAGGTTTAATATTCGCTAGTCTCTCCGGCGTTAGCCTCGATCCCCTAGGAATAGCGGAGAACTTTTTAGTAATATACCTCTAGTCGTATAGACTATCCCTAGGTATTAATATCGCTTCGCGGTTAAGGCACTTTTGTCGCTAGTTAGGATTTCCGCTAGGATTAGACCTATCGGTTATATATACGCTACCTTTTACGGGCTTAATCTTATTAGCTACTCTCTTATATAGGGTATATATACTAACCGCTCGTAATACCCGAGCCCTCTCTCTTTAACGTTAGGCCCGGAGATTAGCGTAATAGAACAGCGCGTAAACTTTATTAGAAGTCTCCTTAAGTCGGTAGGTATATAGCTAGTAATCCTAATTTATAATTCCGGCGAAAACGTTAGATTCCTAATAACACCCCCGGGGTAGCATTAGCTCGGCGCTCTAATTAGTTAGTTCGGATTCGGGCTCGGGTAGATCCGCTTCCGGCGGCGATGCCTACGATAGTATTATTACCGAGATTCGTATACTAGGTAGTCGTTATACTATTATACTCGCTATCGCTTCGAGCATTCGTCTTCTTAGTATAGAGCCTAGAAACTAGCCTTATCGTACGGAGCGGCGCACCTCTAGATATAACCTATTTAAGCTATACTAACTTATAGCGCAGATTACCGGTCTTACAACCGCGCTATAGCGTTTCCCGAAGAGCGTTTAGAAGTAGCAAGGATATCCTCGTAGGATTTGTAGCTAGTGTTTCCGATATAACTAGTAAACACGACTCGGTTGCCCTTCTAGTTAGCGATAGTTCCTTTCTAGGAGCTATCGTCGCAGTTGCGCTAGATATCCCGGGTTATACGAGACTATAGACGACCTAGAATAATTAGCGTATTCGGGTTAGCGGCAATCTAGAAGGTAAAGAAAAAGTATATGCCGAAAGCGTTTACTATAACATTATAGTAGGCACCTACTAGCGCAACCTCCCTATTTACTCCCTATATACTAAGGGAAATATCTCTGTTTATTAGCAGTCGGAGCTGTTTAGCCTAGCGCTTACTTATAATAAGTAACTCTAAACTATTATTAAGCATTGCTAGCAACTGCTAACTATAGCTTCTAATAGTAACTTAAATATAGATAGCGGGAACGACAGTAAAGGAACGGGTAACTACGGAAAGGTCTATATTATTAGGGATAGAGTAAAGTTCCTTAGGTCGAGGTAGTCCTACTCGACCGATTTGTTAGCTAGTAAATCGGACAGCCTTAATAGAAACTAAAACCGAAGCAGAGTCGGCATTATTATTATCCCCTCGGCCTATCTTCTTAATCCCCTCTTCGTTAGTATTATCGATAGTCTCCTAGCTCTCGTAGGTCACTAATTCGCCTTCTACTAACTCCTAGGCCCCTAAAAATTTAGGAAGGAACTATAGGGAAGAGACGTCGATATAGTCCTCTCGCCCCTGTTTGCGTTAGAGGGCTGCAAGGTCTTTTATAAAGGTAGCATCGTTAGGAATCCGGCTCTAGAACAGGTTAGTAGGCAAACTGTATACTAGAAGCTCTCCTATAGACACGTTAGACTTAAGGTCTAGGAACTATAAAGCCTAGAAGAGAGCATTTGCCTTCGTATCGTAAGAGTTAGTAGGCCCGGCGCTATACTTCTTTATATACCTATTAAAGCGAAAGCTCTTTAGGTCGGCTAACTTTCGCTTATAGGCCGGCGGGTTAGCTAGGCCTAGGGTACTACTAAGGTCGGTAGCAGCATCCTCTATATCGATATCTAGAGTTTCTAGTACCTCCGGAGTAGCTATACTAGCTCGGGTTATACGGTCTTTAGCTGTCTAGAGTGTTTTAGTCTTAGCGACTAATTCTCGCTGTTTCTTAGCCTTATTAGCTGCCTACTTCTTAAGTATCCTAGTAGGGGCTGCCGCACTAGGGCGGGTAGGGTTCTACGGGCTCTTGCCCTTGCCCTAGGACTAGGTTTAGGACCTTATAGCAGCGTAGACATCTATACTGTTCTTAGTAACCGCGTAAACATTAGTAACTGCGTCCGGGTCCTAAGACACAAAGTTGACTTTAATAGGCTTAGTAGTACTATTACTGCTCCGCTCCTTAACCTGTTTTGCCCTAACCTTCTAAGTTTCTCGTTTAGTAATAGCGGCGAGGGTACTATTCCTAGTGTCCTTAAACTCGATCTTGCTACTATACTTCTTCTCTAGAAGACTCCTAAGTTAAGGCAGCTTCGGAGCTCTACGATCCTACTTAAAGTTAATCTTATCGCCGGTATCGGTATAGTAGAACCGACTATTTACTTATATAACGAGCTTCCTCTTAAGAAGCTCCTTCTAGATAGGGCAGTCTAATTAAACATATTTGAAACCGCCGCATATCTAGCACTTGCTATCTAAGTTAGAATAGATCTTCCGTATAGCGTAGACGTTAACTAAAGGGGCCTTAGGGTAGTTAGGATCGGAGACCTAGTAGACTAGTAGTATATCCTTTAGTATACTAGCGTTAAGGACCTCCCTAACTCGCTATAGTGCTTTCGCATTAAGGTTGAGCTAGGCTAGGGATTTAGCTAAGTCCGCAACGTCCTAAGAATGCTTAGTAATAGTAGGAGTTACGGTACTAGGACTACTTTACGATTTAGGAAGAAACTTAGGCCCTCTAGTTCCCGAGGCATCGTTCCTTACCTAGGCTAGGTTATTCCGGTCCTCGCCGTAAATAAACTTCTTTGCGTTAGCGGAGCTGTTAATGTCGTCCTTAACAGCCTCTAGGACCTCTTTATACTTCCTAAAGGTCTCGGAATTGGCTTCGCTAAGCTTATAGCGACGGAAGACACGCTTAGCCGTAGACTACGGCAACCCTTTAAGGAGCAGCCTCGTTCTCTAAGAATTCTCGAGGTCCTACTAGTCGATACCGTCCGCTAACTTAACAAACTCGCGGACGTACTCCTTTAGGTCGTTATCTTCGGTGCGCCTCTCTATATAGAGGTTCTTAAGCTACGTACGACTGCCTTTAATGCGACGGCTATCGCGATCCCGATACTCCCTTATAAAGGCCTGCTTAAAGACCTCCTAGTCGGTATTAGACTTGTCGTCCTTTTCTAGGTAGCTAACTAGGGTTCTAAGGGTTCGGTAAAGCTTAGTAATAGTAGTCCTCGTAAAGGACCGGACCTTGTACTAGTCCGACTCCTCTTCGAGTCCGTACTCGGCTAAGTTGTCCTTAAAGCGTTCTACGTGCGCCGTAGCGTTCTACCCTTTAAATAGAGGGTTCCTACTGCTTCCTAGCTCTAGCGGGCGACGCCTATTCTAACGGAGAAGATTAGTTTGCCCCTAAATTATCTTTATAACGACATTATAGAGGGCCTCGGGCGTAGAAGGCTCGACAGCCCCTAGTTCGATAGCGCTTATAATAACTAGTCGTCGCCTGATTTCTTCGTTAATAGGGTCTAGTAGGTTATTAGATTCTAAAGATTCCGCTAATTCGTAATGCTCGCTTTCGCTAGAGCTTATTCGATTGTTATAAAGTAGTTAAAATGAAATACTATAGGAAAGTGTTTTTAGTATATATTGTAGGTTTAGTTTGTTTCGATATTGCTATGCGAGAAAATAGTATACTAGGCTGTTTTCTTCTAATATTACCCCTAGGGTAGTATTAGAGTTTAGCCTCCTAGGGGTCGCCTATATACCCCTAGAAGCTAAGTTTAGTATTAGACGAAAGCCGCTCGGAGGGAGAGACTACAATCTCTATTTATACCTAGATCCTAGAAACTAGCTTGTATCTCCTTTAGCTAGGCGGGGGGGAGGGGGGGGGGGCGGGGACCTTCTTTTTCTAGTAGAAGGCTAAGCACTATCCGAACGAGGCAGCGAATCCCGAAGCAATCTACCTAGTTAATAGGGGAACTGTCTAGGTATCCGACCTGTAATCTAGAAATTGCTATCGTATAAATAGTCTTAGCAAACTAAGCAAGGCCGATAGGTAATTAATCTATCTCCTCCTTAGGCGGGGCTTATCTTAAGCAAGCGGTACTAAATAGGTCTTCGACCTAGAGCCGAGTCCTTAGAAGCTAGCTATAGTTAT